ACATGAAATCGAGGGTGCAGTTCAAATTCCCCACCCCTAAAGCATGGGGATCAAATTCCCCATCCCCTGGAAGACTCTGATAATCAAATTCCCTCCTCCCCGGGACGGCAAAGGTGTCAAATGCCCGGGGTATGCCCGGGGGGGGGCATGTTGAAGCTTCGATTTGACCGATACATCAGAGATCTGCTGTTGGACAGACTCATCCATCTCCGAATGACAAAAATAATGTTAAAAATCAAGAATTACTGCCGATAAATGTCGTAAAGGCACTTGAGCCAGTCCCTTTCAACCCCAAGGCCCGCAAAAAATAAATACGTCATACTGCGAAAAATAATTTTCAGCCCAATAAAAAATTAATTCTCATTACCAAAAGTTAAAAACAATTCGCAGTACCATTGAAAATAATCCGTGGTACGAATGAAAAAAATATTTGTAAAACTATAAAAAAAAATCAGTATATTTGTAGAACTTTAAAAAAAACTTACAAGACTTAAATAAAAAATATAACATGCTGATCAAAATAATTACCAACACGCTGAAAAAAGTGTTAATATGTGGTGATGACAACAATACAAAACAGGTTTATAAAAAGTGTTGCACTGGCAAAAATACTGGAATAATTTTGACCAGAACGGGCCTCCATAGGTTATTACTGAATTTTGTTTCAGCCGAATTTTTTGTCACATTAGAAATGGCCTCCATTTGTTTAACCTCTACGCATTTCCAGTATCCCTAGGTCAAATTTAATTTGTTTTGATTTTGACCTCAACCAATCACAACGCACGATACATATATCCAGAAATCAGAAATGGATATCTCCCGAACTGCTTGCATGGCACTTAGGATAGCAACAGACAGGTGCTCATAATCCTCTTGATAAAACAGATCTCAAAAAAAAAAAAACGGAAAGGGGGGTAAAAGGGGGGAGAAGGTGGCATGCACCCCCGCCCTTTCCTTGTACGTCCGAGGTTTAAGACGAGGGAGGGAGAAGTTCCACGAAAAAAAGGTTAAGCAATAGATGGTTTAATTTCCTAAACAAGGCAGCTTTTCGGGCTAGAGCATAATATCCGAAAAGTTTATTTGTGTTTTATGAACCATAGCTTATTAAACGGTTCCTAGTTTTCGTTTAGCCTTTACCGGTCTGGCATTGGTTTATATAGTCCAGAGCGTTGTTTTGACTCAATACGCAATAAAGAAATTAGTTGAGGTCGAAACTCTGATGACATCAGTTGAGCGAGTAATGACGTACACCGAAACTATCCTAGAATTAATTTCACAAATAGTAACCTATTATTATATAACTTATTAAACTTATTAAATATTAACCTTGTATGCAGTATATAATAAATAACTAAAATATTCAACTCCCTCGAGGCAATCCCTGGTTCAGGACAAATTGAGCGAAGAGTTGAAAGAGTTGAGATTGTCTCATCTTCAATCCCTGGTGTTCTAGGCCATTCCACATGACTGTCCCCCGCTAAGAGCTCGCTTAGCAGCCTCAGTACGGGGCCTGGGTAGAAAATCTTTGTTCGAGGCTCCTCGTAACGTTGTAGGAATGAACCCTCGAGGTTGCTGGTTTGAACAAGTTCTCCGCTAAACCCTCAGGATAAGGGTTATTCCATGTTATTCAGAGATTTAAAAACATTTATTGCGAACTGCTTAGAGCGTCTTTGTTCAAGGGCATGCCATCCTGATTAATATCTTTCGTGACATATAATTATGTATTATAAACAAGGCGACAAACAGCTTTATGGTCTACTGATTGTTAATAACAGACCGTATTGTGATCGAAATTATGTTTTTTAATGCAAAATTGAGGAATGCCATCAAAGTTTGAACCTTCTCTCTAGTACAAACCTCTCATTCCTTTCACTGAGGCAAAGGTAAGCAAGAGAGCGAGGTAGGTGTACTTTTTTTCTGACCATTGATTTTGAAACAATTTTGTAAAAGCAAACAAAATTAAAGAAACTAAGGTTAATAGTGTTCAACGGATTTGAAGGATCGGTAATTTCTTAAACTATACTGGCTGCGACATAACGTCAGTGCATTCAGACCCATTACTTCGGACTACGAAACAGGATAAGAAACGTTACTGGTTCAAATCGCATCTTTTTTGTTAAATCGTCTTCTATAAGGGACGCAATTCTATGGATTGATCATTACGACCGATCGATTCACTTGATTACACTGACTAAGAAGGGTAGATACCACAGTCATAGTGATTTCAGTGTGAACTGCACTTTTAAAAAGGCGGAGTTGCCCAACAGCCTCGAAGTAGCAACTGAGCAACTGTTTACAGTCCTTCAAAATCCACTATACGGTGACTGCCCACCCGCTTTCTGAGGCGGGTCTTAGGAATGTTCGCTGTCGGTTATTAATAACTCAAACTTTTAAACTCGCGAATTCAGAATATCTTGAAATAGTGAATATTAATGAAATCATATGAATGTCATATGCAAAGAAGATCCTCTTAGTTAAAGACTTTGCTTCTTTACTTGCTAAGACTGGTCTTCTTTGCATTTAATTTATTCATTAAATCTCGTCAGTTTGATTGAATAGCATCGATCATTAATAGTTCATCAAATCTTCAGTAGGAATGTTAAAAAAAACTTGGTACAGAGTGTCAGACGTTCGTTACCAACGAAAATGATCTGGAAAAATTGGTTTGAATATAACTAAGTAAAACTGAACAATTTGATAAGCATTTTCTGAATAAATTAGCGTGAATGCAGTAGCAAGACAGTAAAAAACAAAATGTCCATTGTATTGTCTTCGTTTATTTACATGCAAACCATGAAGAATCAGTCACGCCTTGGTATTACAGTAGTCTCACTAATAAACCCGTCGACGTTATGTTTATTAGTTTTTGATTAAACAGTAATGTTTCAAGTCGAAGGCGCAGTCACGTTATCACTGAATAAAGATCATTTCGTAACAGCACAATTAACATGCTGGAAGGGGCTACGAAATTTTAATATAATAATGATCCAGTCGAATGCATTTGAAAGATGAACGATCACCGCAAGCGATCCGCGAACTGTATGGAATTATCAAACGCTTAACGGTCCTTGACGTGTAAATATGTCAAATCTCCCTACAACTGATAGTTAATAACCATAGTTAGTAAGATGGTGAATTTTGAGCCAGGTTAATGAATCAGAAAGATGTCTTTTTTTTTTTCAATCAGTGACCCAGGCGACTCGGAAGAAAAAATTCGAGTACTACACCTACACTGGTATGACCTTCTACTCCAGGTGCCCTACCACTAAGCTATACAGGAGACTCTTGGAAGCTCAGGCTGCTAAACTAGGAAAAACATCCTGTATACTGTTAGGACTAGAATGTCGATATGAGAAATGAGTAAAGATGAGACGAAGAGTTGGTGAATTTTGAACCTGGTGAATAAATGAAAATAAAGCAAGGTCATATGTTCGACTCCTATACGCCACTTCCACATTTCCCATAATGCACCCTTATTTGCCCCCAAAATTTTGCATACACTCTAAATTTAGCCCTAAAAATAGGGCCGTTTCGGTGAGTAAAATACAGTCCTATTTTTGAGTCTAATTTGGCTCCCTTAAATCAGGGCCAATACAGTCCAATTAACTGGGGCTGATTTGGTCCCAGGGCTGAAATGGGCCCTACCGTGGGCTGGAATAGCCTTTTGATTGAGCTTTTTTGGCCTAAATTGTGCACAAATGGCTCCAGGAAGGGCTGAATCAGACTTTGGCCTGAAGGGCTGAATTGACACTTCGGGGCTGAAACAGATCTTTTTAATTTTCAGTGTGACCTATGTTTTTCATTTCGCCTGCGTATTACAGCCGTCCTAAGAGAAATTGAAAACAATGCTTATGCAAATTGTTGGCGGTCAAATAAGGTGCATTATGGGAAAAGTGGAAGTGGCGTATTGTGGGTACTCGTTGTCACTGACTGAAAAAAAAATCCTATTCCATCTTTCTCAATAGGTAGTTCTCCGGTAGCAGATAGATGCTTCGTAACAGTATTAGCAAAGAAATAAAAGCAAATTTCGGCGAATTTCAACGAACAAATTGCGAACTTTCGTTTCAGACGAAAAATCGGCGAAATTTCGATGCATGTATTGTTCTAACGTCGTGTAAATAGATGCAAAATCTCACAAAAGATCACTTAATTGCTGTGAGAACTTGACGTTTATTCGTTATTCGGACAAATGGTTTAGGTTATTAAGACAAGAATAACTGAAAAGTGGTTAAAATTTTAGTTTTGAGAGCCAGTATCAGTAAAGAATACGCTCTTGAAATAGATGAAAGTCACCTTTAAAGCCGTACGTGCGACTGAAGTCTAAAGTGCAATGACCGTAAACCAGAGATTGGAATCAATTGGCCTTGCTGCGAGAACTAGTTTATTCGTTAGTCGGACTAATACTTTAGGGTATTGATACGAGAATAACTGAAAACGGGTAAAAAATTTTATTTTTGACAGCCGAAGATATCAACTTGCCCAATATCAGTGAACATAACGCTCTTGAAATGGATGCAAATTCTCACCTCTAAAGCCGCGCGTCAAAGTCGTCCGTCTTCGCTTCCATTACCAGCGAAATTTCGCCGATGAGAATTTTCGTTCTGGCCTAATTTCGCCAGTGCAAATTTCACGGCCCTGTCATCCGAAATTTCGGCAAAACGAAATTTCGCTTCTATGGATACGAAATTTTTTGCTTCGCATGTTGGACGAGGAAGATTATCCAAAGAGAGATAAGGAGAATGTGCAAGTAACTCAGCGACGCTCGAAGGAAACTATGTATCTTCTTACTATAGAAATAGATAACGGAAATAAGTAACGGTAATGTATGTTTTCAACATCTGAGACGATATAACGCCTGGCGTTATCACACTCAGTGTTTTAGTTAGTCTGGGGTAGATCGTTGGACAAAAATTCGTATCATCAGGTAATTAAAATGAAAAAGGTTATAATTTGTATCGGTTAAAAATTTGCTGTTTTTTTCCCCCCTAGACCTCAGAAAAATGGTAAAGAATAGGTACAGAAAGATTGCCACGTCTGCACACACGGAAAGCGAGAGCCTTTTCTCTTCTCTTTTTTTCCAGTGGATGAACATTCTAATAAAGACAGGGAGTGAAAGAGCTGTTGATGAGAAAGATCTTTTACCTCTTAAAGAAGAAAACACTACTTGGTTTTTGACAGAGGAGCTTCAGGCAAAATGGACCGAAGAAACAGCTCTTAGCAAAATACAGGATGTTAAACCAAAACTCTGGAAAAGTGTGTTGAAGATGCTAACAGCAAAGGACTTTTTAATCCTTATTACAGCTGGCAGTCTGAACACAGTTGGTCGCATTCTCCAACCACTGCTTCTTGGATACGTTCTAAAATCCCTGATGATTGCAAGGCTAAAACACAATTATCTTCTCTACGGTTGTGCTTTCGCGTTTGGGATAAACGAACTAATCAGTTCTCTTAGCATGCACCAATTTGACTACCGATGTGAGGTGCTTGGAACCAGGATTAGCAACGCCCTTAAAGGATTAGTCTACATGAAGGTAAAGAAAAAATTCAATAGGCACTTTAAGGGGTGTCGCTAAAACGCGGGGTTGGGGTCGGGGCCGAGGATGGGGTCGGCCGGCGGGTCTATCTCTTCTTTTAAAGAATGCTGTTTTAGGGTTAGGGTTAGGATTAGGGTCAGCATTAGCCTTGAGACTGACCCTAACCCTAACCCTAGAACAGCACTCTTTTAAAATAAAAAAGTTAGATCCCGACCCCGCGTTTTACTGATACCTCGGACTTTAAGCGCCGTCAACGGCAACCGCGACGGCGACGCTTTCAATAGTTACTTACAATGACAACCGCAGCAAAACAACAATAAAACTAAGCTAGTAGCCTCTTGTTTACCTCGATCGGTCTTCTTCTTTTCCTCCTTTATGAGAAAAACAACAAAGGGCTCTGTACGTGTATGATCGTGATATCAAACCAATGGAACCTATAGTTTAGGCTCATATTTAGGCAATGAAGAGGCCAACAGGAAAGAAAATTATTCAGTCAGCGAGAACACATTGTTCATAAAACTTTGTTGGATATCACATAAAAATTACGTTTCTGTAAATGACAGAGTCGATTCATACTCGAACTAGACATGATTCTCAAAAATCAAAGATAAAATGTTTCCAAGTTCCAAGCAGATTCATCATCATCATTATCAGTCCTTATCATTATCACTAAGCAATCAGAATAAATGCATGAAAGGAAAACATGATGTAGCCATAATATTGTAACGATCCACATACAATGTAATCGCATGATAAAAATAGTTATAGCTATTTTTGTTACTGATGACTTTATTCTAAGATAAATATATGAACTGTTTTGCTTTTTTGCAGGCGCTTCTCCTTAACAAAGATACATTGTTGAGGTTTTCAATCGGTCAAGTTATTGATCTCGTATCAAATGATGTCCAGCGAATAGAGGGCGACACTTTTCAATTGCTTTTTCTGGGAATTCGATCCACCGTGGAGCTCTTAACAGTAACGTTTTTTCTAGTCGATCTAATCGGATGGCAAGCTGTAATGGGAATCCTTTTACTTTGTATGTGCCTGCCATACGTTGCTGGACTGTCCTATACTGGGGCTGTACTGCGCCTGCGTACAGACGCGGTAACTGATCACCGCATCACGTTGATCAATCAGGTTGTTTCTGGGATCCGCGCCATCAAAAGTAATGTGTGGGAGGATGAATATAGAGGCAAAATAAAGAACGTCCGAAGGTAATGAAACTTTTGAATAACACAAAATAAAACTGAGCTGCTAGAAAGGTACTAAGCAAGTAAATTGTACATTTTATGAAACCTGCAGTAGAAATTCATACAGAAGTTATTTAATCCCCATAATCTTTCCTGGGTATATTACGAGCCAGTTTATTGACTGTCCAGCTCCCAATTGGCCTGCTCCCTGGATTAGCTATCTGCAATACCGGTATCGCAGTGGTCAGGGTTCGAGTCCCGGCAAACCTGGATTTTTTCAGGCTTTCTTTTTCGCAATTGCAGAGGTTGGAACTTAAACTGCAAGGACCTTCACTACATTTATTTCTTCATTCCGCGATTCAAATATATAAATTTCATATATTCATTATTACAACTTAAATTGTTATTACAACTCATACGTCAAAGCCTAAAAGCCATTTGAAATCTCGTTTAAAAAGTATTGCGATTCTAGATTCCTAGTTTGGCTGTATAAATCTTTGTTTAGTCTCTACCTGCCCGACTTGTCTTTTGGAATCCAGAAATTTCACGAAAAAGGCCACTTTTAAAATAAAAGGAATTAAGCATGTGCCTAATGATACCTCGTATCTTGCTTTTCAATTATAGCAATGAAATCAATTTGATCCGTAAAAAGAGTGCTGTTATGTCGATCATTGCTGCTCTCGAATACGTTTCAACACCAACAGCGACCCTTATCACTGTCATCACTCTTGTACTAACTGGTCAGCCCCTGACTCCTGTTACCGTCTTCTCGTTACTGTCTTTTATCAATCTGCTGAGAAGGAGCCTCTGTACGGAACTGTCCAATGGACTCATGCAATCATATGACGCCTATGTCTCATTGAAAAGAATACGTGACTTCCTTCTATTAAACAACCTTGAATCAAATAACACAAGGATGTATCAACAGGAAGGAGCAGAAAAAATCTTCTTACCTTACAAGTCAACAGATCCTCAGCAAGAAACTATCCTAACGGTCAGAAATTTTAATCATCAAAAGCAAAAAATAGTTACAGACGACGAATCGTTGCTGCAGGATATTGACTTCACAATGGAAAAAGGAAGTTTAACAGTCCTAACCGGACCAGTGGGCAGTGGTAAATCTACTCTTTTGTCGGCAATTGCTGGGGAGGTGCCAGACCGGAACGGGGCCATAAACTACAATGGAACTGTTGTTTATGTGCCACAGATTGCTTGGGTATTTTCTGGGACTATAAGAGAAAACATTTTGTTTGGCGAACAGTACGAGGAATCTAAGTACAACAGAGTCATTAAAGCATGTGCTTTGACTCAAGACATCGAGAAATTTCCAGACTGTGACCAAACGATCGTTGGAGAGCGTGGAGTGGTTCTTAGTGGAGGCCAGCGGGCAAGAGTAAGCTTAGCACGCGCGGTGTACGCTGAAGGAGAGCTTTACTTGTTGGATGATCCCTTAACTGCCGTGGACTTTAAAGTCGCCAATCACATCTTTAGGGAATGCATCAAAGGCCTACTTAAACGGAAAACCCGATTAATAACTTCTCACCAAGAAAGGGTCATGCGAGAAGCTGATAGCATTATTGTATTGTGTAAAGGCCAAATGTTGGCTAAGGGAAGTTTCACTGAGCTAAAAGAAAGTGGTATCCTGAATGCAACTCGTGATCCCGCGTATGAGAAAGCTAACGAAATCGAATCGGTTGTTGGTATGGAAAATAAAGACAAAGATGACATTCCTAAGATGAGTGATGAAAGTGTATCCCATGAAGTACAGGGGCCTCGCTTATCAGAAGAAGATCGAGCCATCGGAGCTGTGTCTGCAAGTCTGTACTGGAAATACTTTAGAAGCGGAGCACCTTTACTGCTAATAATCACGGGAATTTGCTGGTGTCTTATTACTCAAGGTAAGGCCTTAACATGAAGAAAATTTACAACATCACTTTATAGCCTGGGAAATCACGCGATAATTCGCGACGCCAGCAATGGTTCACCCTCAAAGGGCGGCTGAGGAACGAACACATGCTGGTGACCTGTACCCAGCTATGGCGGTGCTTTCGATTGGTCGTGTGGCGAGGGAAATTTGCTTCAACAAATCAGAAGCACTGCCCAGATGTGGGTAGTGATACATCAGCAGTATGGAATTTTGCACGTGTTCTCAGTCGTCGTTTCACGAGAACCCAGTGGTGACGTCGCGAAATGTCGACTGTTTTCTTAGGCTTTGTATCATATTTCTAGGATCAAATCCTCCTTAAAAATTTCTTAGTTATGAGAATACCTCTTAAAACCCCCTATTAGCAGACATACTTGTAGGGCAGAATAAGTTTCCATAACTGGCACTTGCTATGCACCGAAGTGATCCTTGTAACTGGTTGCGAGAAAAAGTCATTTGTGACCCCTCCCCACGGCTGGTGGGCTGTTCAAAAATGCCACGTTGTTTGATATCTTATTGTCAAACTCCTTGTCGATCATTGCAAAAAATGTTATGTTGTACTTGGAACTGGCCTTCACTAATACAAAAAGAAATATATGTAATTACATTTTCCCTTTGCATGTAGTAGTTATAGGCGCAAAAAAACTGTCCGCGTAGAAAGTTTCCACAGCCACGTCGGGGAATGTGATAATGTAGGGCAGTCATACGTACTTTTAGAGATGTTCACTTACGGCAGCGATTCATTAAGGGATCTTTGCCTGACGCCACAACCAGTTGTAAAAATGTTCAGACACTCCAACGAAAAACCAGCCTTTTTTACTTCAAATCTCTGCTAGTCAAACTTCTGTGCAATAAAATACTCAACTCCCGCCTACTCTCCATTCAAAGTTGTTCCTCCAGTTTTTGAGGATGGCCTTGTATCGCTGCAACTTTGAAAAGGCGGGATCACAAGCACAAGATCATGGCCAGGCCACTTAAGCCAAAAAAAGGTACCGTGGCTCTAGTACTTTTTCAACTGGTTGTAGCAATTATGCCAAATTTGTATTTAAATTAGTATTAAACATATATTGAATAAGGCTGAGTATTCCTTTATGGAGAATTAAGCAAATCGACGATAGTGGTATCCACCAAAGGCGAAGTCCGAAGCTATACTTAAGGCAAAGTTGGGCACAAGAGTGCAAGGAAACTTTTGGCCCCTCAATCTGTATCTTCATATGCTTCCTAAGAATCTAACAGCAGATGGTCCTTCTAAGCCTGGACCGCTTTAGTACTAGCAGCTAATGGTGGCGAACTTCCTTTTAATCGTTTGCCTCTCTCGGGACACAGTTTTGTGATGATCACATCTCATTTTCATTGTTTCAGTAGTAGGATGCTTATATATATTTGCATTGTTCTTCGGTCAATACTTATTTGCACTTCTGTAGAAACTTATACTGTTATATAAATTACGCCTCATCGTACGTTCGTCGGTCAGCATTGTGCCTGGATAAAAGTAATTGAATGTGATTTACGTCAAAATACACGTCCAGCGGCAAAGTCTTCATCGTGCAAGATAATCCTCGATTTATCGCGAATAACTATGGCAAGAGCCTCGTGAATTAAAACCCCGCAGATAAACTGGGACGCTTAATATTTACGAGACCAGTTCGTGAAATTCAAGTAATACCGCAATCTAATCTTTGCTGGTCGCCATGCAAACAAAATGCATAAAAAACAAGCTTATTTATATCCGTTGTGGACTGACAGCCAAGAACCAGAAGCCTACAACAGTTGGACATGGGAAGACGATGATGATCGCATCAAACCAGAAGAAATTTGGCGATGATTTGAGAACCACGTAGCACCTAAAGTAAGTCACAGGCTTACTAGATATCAAAGCCATCAGATTCGGCAAAACAACGAGAAAACTATGGATTATTTTATGAAACGCTGCTGGAATCAGGCTAAAAGAGGCTGGTTCAGAGATTTGGCTTAAATGAATGTGCATCTAATAGAAAAGTTCGCAACTAATCGTTGGAACAGAACACAAACTAGTTCAAGAGAGGCTTTAAGAAAAAAAGGTCTAGCGCTTTCACTCGACGAAGCAACTGACATTGACCAAGATACCCTGTCTCAATTGGAGCAGTAAGGATGGGATCAAAACAAAATGATCATGGAATCAAAAAGAGCGTTAGGAACGGCAACAAGCCTAAAGTATGCAGTGCCCTAACTATGGCCTAGAACTTTTCTCAAGAACCAGTGAAAGTTGCCCGGCGTATGGAGCTGAGTTCCTTAACTGCCGGAAACCAAACCGTTGGGTAACAGAATGTCGTGCAAACCGCGGAGTGTCGGGGGGTTCATCTAAAGACAGAGGAAATTCCAAATCAACGCACCGGTCTACAAGCGGAGGCCGCTGAGGCAGAGGAACGTCTTCGCTGGACACAAGGAAGAGAGCACACTCGATTCAAATAAGTAATTTCAATCACTACTTCTCATTACTTTCGAAATCAATTGAAGTTAATGCGTTTGATCCTACAAGCCTGGATAACACGAAAGATGAAGGTGATTGTTAAAGTAAAATTTGGCCTCGACCAGTTGCAGTTATAGCAGAGTTGGACACAGGAATGTAAGGAAACCTTTTGCCGTTCAGACAGTATCATCGTATGTTTCCTCACTATCTAACGTACGGCCGATGGTCTTCAGGATCACATATGAATTCTCAGGCCGACAATCTGCTGCAAGCTTCTTCTTTACTGAAGCAGAAGGTCGAGCCCTTCTAGATTTACCAACAGCACGTGACCTCAATCTCATTATTTTCCATTGTTCTGTGCAGAGTGATTCAGCAAATCCCCTCGACACCCATGAGTTACCCACACCCTCGCAAACCAAGCCTGAGGGAGTTACACCAAAGCCAGTAACATCCTCCAAGAGGACTGGAGGCACACCCGAGGCAACAACATCCTCTCGGACCAAACCCGAAGGAGCCACACCCAAGCCAGCCACTCCCTCGGAACTGGTTAAATCCAAAAAACCAACCTCTCTCAACAACAAGGTTACCCTAATTGTTTCAGTGAAAATGAAAAATGGATGCTTCAGTACCCCCAATTGTACAAACCCAGAGACGCGTACCACTGAACTTACGGGATGACATCAAGCAGAAACCAGCTTACACTGTATTACAAGGTATAATTAGCAAGATAAGAGAATTCGAGTCAACTGGCTGAGTTAACCGCTAAGTGTACCGCAGAAAACCAAATGGCGAAAAGCTGAGAATCTTCGTCGATCAATCCCAAGGACCTTAATGGAAAATCACGTGATCCTTCACTTGAAAAAGTTCTTCCAAGAATGACAGGTGACAAATACTTCTCAATAGGAGATGCAAAATGTAGATATTGGAATGCCGAGTTGGATCAAGAACTGGGCTACAAAAACCGTTAACTTTAAACTTACCATTTGGTCTTTTCCGTTTCCTTTGAATACCTTTTGGCCTTTGATGTTTCAGGGCGTGTTTCAAGCTAAAACATACCGGCCTTTAAAGGTTGTGAAGGTGAAGTGGAGATAGCCGAAGATATTGTTGTTTACGACAGAGGAGGAACACGAACGTCACATGCATGGTATGCTGATCAGATTCAGAACCAGCGGACGTAAGTTGAATCCAGACAAATGCAAATTTAAGCAGAGGGAGATCAAGTTCTAGGGCATCATCTGTATTGAGGATGGAGTTAAACCTGACCCCGATAAAGTTTCAGCCCTGCTAAGACGATGTCACCCCCCACCAATTCACAGCACGAGCTGGAAACATTTTTTTTATATACCTACTTGGTTCCATTCATTTCCAGGTTTAATGCCTTGAAAGCCCCCTTGCGAGAATTGCTAAAGGAGAAAGATGATTTTGACAAGACTTCCTTGCAAGAGCAAGCGTTTTACGCGATTGGGAATGACATTAAAGCGACAAAATCACTCCGGCGTAGTATGACCTAACCAAAGAAGTAATCCTACTGGTAAAGGGTCTCGGTGTTATTCTACTTCAAGAGAATTTAACTCGAAACAGCCAACGACAGAGAGCTTGCTGCCCCTAAGGAAGTCTAAACAATGGTTCAGTTTGGCCCACGTCAGTAAACGATAGTAAAGGAGTTTCCGCCATTGGTTCGACCTGTGAGTTATCTGTCAAAAATGACCGGTTCTAAAAGATCAGCGCGTTAGTATTCCTCAGTAACTCCAGGGAGACATTTTGTCCAAACTACATGCCAACCAAGGTAGTACGCACATTGGTATTCTGGAAAAATCTAAACAAGAACACTGGGGAGCTGATGACTCAGGCATGGAAAGTCATCCAAGAACTCCAACCTAAGCAGGCAAAAGAACTGATTACTCTGACAGAGGCACCAACAAGTTCTTGGCGTACTGGTACAGTAGGAATTGGTCTATTCTACGTGGATACCTGATAATTAATGATTACTTTACTAAGTTCTCCTTTGTTAGAAAGAAACTCAGACGTCAGAGTAAATGTATGGTTGTTGTTGATCAAATAAATCAAATCTTCAGTGATTAAGGCTTCAGCTGACTATAAGGGCTATAATGGGACACGTTTCCAAGCCGATACTGTGGTCAATTTGCAAGGAAAACGGTTTCAGCCACCGCACAAGTTCTCCCAAGGTATTTTTGCCTTTAACTGAGCTGTTCAGTACTGACGTCCAACTTCCTCGATTAGTACTACTTGTCTAGCCACAAATCTGCGTTTATAATGACATGTTCAGATATAATTCATATCCAATTAACTGCACGAAACGAGTACAAATTCCCCACGATGGTTATTTGTACAGTTTTTTATTTGTATACTTATAGCATATAGCATACCTGTTTGATAAGTTGCAGCCTTCATCTTCTCATTCATCTTCAATTTAATACAATCTCCTGTTTAGACGCAGTTATTCGTTAGACAACACTAGTATCTGACGCTTCTTTCTCTGATATTCACTTTTTAGCAACGATGGTTTCCTGTGATGTGTGGCTTTCACTTTTGACAAAGGATCGTCCAGAAGATCAAAAGAATTCGACAAACCTTATCATCTACGGTTCTCTTGTCGCCACATCTTTCATATTTCTCATCATTCGGGCATTTGGCTTCTATTTGGTGTCGTTACGATGTTCTGAACGTCTTCACAATAAAATGGTAGCGGCTATTCTACAACCACCGGTCCTCTTCTTTGATTCAAATCCCGTGGGAAGAATTATGAATCGGTTCTCTAAAGATGTAGGCTGCATGGATGAAGTAATACCGAGAAAGTTTCTGTCAGCAGTCCAACTGGTCTTGTTGATGTTCACCTCAGTTCTTCTACCAACTGTAATAAACTCTTGGCTTCTGTTTGCCGTTGTCCCAATAGCTGTGTTAGCGGGGCTTATTTCAAGATATTACTTAAAGACTTCCAGGGAACTACAAAGGATGGAGTCCATTAGTCGCAGCCCTGTCTATTCTCATTTTTCGGAAACCCTGGATGGACTGGAGACGATTCGGACAAGAAACAAGGAAGAAGATTTTGTGGAAGAGTTTTGCAGGTATTTAAAATCAATTTTAAATTAACCTTAATAGCGGGATGAAAATTAATCTTGGGACAACGAAGAAATCGGATTTAATTCAGCTGCAAAGCTAACTAGTAAAAAATAAAAATATATTTTGGACGGGGTATTTCCTATCGTAAATCTAACTAATATGGAGCAAAATGGCACCAGTGACACACTGCAATATAGACAAGAGTTAAACTTGCTCTGAAAAGAGTGAAGAAAAAAAAGTGAAGAGTTCCTTCGATATAACGAACCTGTTTGTGATAAAAAATCCCCGAAGAGATGTCATTCTTGCACTCACTTGCAGTTAAATGTCTTCAGCAGGATCCCGATTTAGCGTACCCCTGTTATGACCAATATATTTTTATCACCACAATTACACTTTCCACGGTACGGAAAGATACTTGGTAGAAACGCATATAGGTTTCTGACTATGAAGTATTTTTTTCGTGGCTTAACCCATTACATGATCCTTTCCAAGTCTGCTGGCTTCCACAACCGCAGAGGTGGTATGCTAAACATATGACAAAAAACGGTTTTATATCTAGACTTATGTTTTTTGTCGTTCTTAGGTATCAAGATATTCATACTCAGTCATACATTATGGTTTTTGCCTGTCGGCGTTGGCTTGGTGTACGCTTGGATTGTCTCTCTGCTCTTTTAACTGGTGCAGCGGCTCTTGCTGCAGTTTTTGTGTCTCAAGATGCTGGTAAATCCATTTGTTTATGGGATGAGAAACGGAAATAATTCATGTTCATATGTTGCTCATGTTTTAAGATCTCTGAATTACCTAAAAACTTCACCTTTTAATATAACGCAATAGCATACGTTTGGATACGTTTTAATTACCCACGATAGAAAGCTTTAAGCTCACGCTTATAATGTCGTAATTAGTAATTTAGAAGTATTAATTAACTTACAAACGTCAAATGAAAATAAATACTGAGATACTTAAAACTAAGAATTGTTTTTGCAGCCATAAAGGCACTAAAACCAATTTCCCATTTAGTTTACGGTTATTAAACTTTCTAGTGAGTGGGGATTCAATTTTTACGGTCTTTTATACGTAGTCTAGAACGTGTGAAGAGAGTGTAGGAAGATTAGAGTTTGGCGGAGTAGGCGTTTTGATTGAGAATATTCTCTTTTATTTCTTACAGCTTTAGTTGGACTATCTCTGGTTTACATAGTCCAGACCGTGAATCTGACGCAATTTACTGTTCGTCAGTTAACGGATATCGAAACTCTAATGACTTCAGTTGAGCGAGCAACGACCTACACAGAGCTGGAATCTGAACCTGGATACAAAGTGGAACGAAATCCTCCGGAATTGTGGCCGTATGAGGGAAATATCGCATTCAAAGACGTATCCCTGACGTACTATCCGTGTGGTCCTCAAAGTCTAAAGGATATCACACTTATCATCAATGGTGGAGCTAAGGTCGGAATTGCCGGCCGGACAGGTGCAGGGAAATCTTCTTTCGTGGCGGCACTAATGCGCATGCCTGAAGCTGACGGAGATATACTTATTGATAACGTTTGTATAAGAGATATCAATCTACAAGAGTCTCGACGGGCAATAACAATTCTTGGACAAAATCCGGCCCTCTTCATCGGATCGGTAAGGCAAAATCTTGATCTGATGGAGCAGTTTGAAGACGCGGTTTTGTGGCGCACTTTAGAAAAGGTGCAGCTGAAAAGTCTTGTAGAGAACCTGGAGGGTCAGTTGGATCATAAATTATTGGAGCACGGGGCAAATTTAAGTGTTGGGGAACGCCAACTCATTTGCTTGGCTCGCGTGTTATTACAGCAAAAGAATATCGTCATTTTGGATGAGCCCACTGCACACGTGGATCCAGACACGGAACAAACAATCTGGAACATAGTGCGCGAGGAACTCAAATCTTCCACAGTTATCACGATAGCACATCGTTTGAACACAATTAGAGACAGTGACAAGATTTTAGTCCTAAAAAATGGGGAAGTCGCTGGGTTTGATACGTTTGATGTGCTAATAAATAGAAAAGGAGGAATTTTTGAGTGAAATGGATCATGTAACAAAGGCCGCCACATAGGATTTTCCTCCATCCAAAAAATTAGGGTGACATTTCGAGGATGTCTTCAATGCCAGCATTGAAAGCTATTTTAGTCGCTAAGGAAGTAATGATATTCCGTGAGGAAAGCTATAATGGTGCACGCGAACGTGCAACTCGGAAAATAAGCGTAATCAAAGGTGTCTACATTTTAATACTGTTGGTCCTTGTCTATAGCTAACTTTCTCTTGTTCTTTAATTTTTATAGTTCGAGCAAAGAGAGCATGACATAGTGCCAAATATTTTTTTATTGAATTAAAGATACTTTAATATTTTATATTAACCAGGTTTCCTGGGGGTGGATTCACCTGCAGCATACTCGTGCTCCTAAACCAAACAATTAGTAAACCCGTTTATTTCCATTGCCTCCTTGACGATTTCCGGTAAACAAAGTAATTAAGTTCAAGCCATGCTGAAAAGCCCCCTACTTGCGATTGCTTACGTATCGGATTAGTTCAGAAAAAGGTGGGCGAATACAAAAAAAAACCAGCTCTTGCAGCAGGCGCTCCCTTCCCTTTTTGCCCGCTTTCACACTTTTCTCCCTCCCCCTCCCCTCCCCTTTTAGTGCCTGTCATGCAGGCTACCGTACATCGTTTCGACTTGTTCGGTTATTTTAACGGTTGCAAAATCTTTCCTTGGAATAATTTTTAACCTTTGGCTAGTTTAACACTTAATACTACCCTAAAATGCCTCCATTTCGAGACAATAAAGATCGCTGATAACATTATTGTTCTGAAGTTCGGAAAACAATAAATTCCTAATTTATGCAGGGCAGTGTCGTGACTCAACCTGTAAAATTTTTAGCCAATGAAACTTCGTTACTTACCTTCAGTAGCCAATCACCAAGCGAGAAAATCATAAAATCATAAAAAATCATAAATTTTGTTGTATTTTCTCCATTTTTTAGGGCAATTTGACCAAGTTTTTCCAGCTTTTGTTATGTAACAAACAAATTGACGCCAGTTTTTTATGTTTTTGTCTTCTTATTGATGATGAAATGACATCATCACATCGTCAAAGTTTGTTGTGGATCCACTCACATGCGGCTCGTGGAGCCACAACACTTTGACAATATTATGACGCCATTTTATCATCAATAAGAGGACAGACACATTAAAAAAGTGGCGTCAATTTGTTAATCTGTCGGTCAGTAAAATTATTTAGACTTGTACTAGCTTCCTTTTTTCTTATAAACTCATAAAGTGCTGGCACCGGTAATTGCAAGGTCTTGAAGGCTATTATTATCTCGTGACTAGAAACCTGTGCTATCCAAACTGAAGCCTTATAAGACGCTAAAAAACATTAGGCTTGAGCATGTACGACTTTACTTTGGGGATTTAGCGATGCTTGTATTTGAAACAGGGTAGGCGTTAGCTACAAATATACAAGTATGCTGCAAATACATTATCCATCCTCAGTATTAAACAAGGACTAACAAGGACCCAGCCATTTAAGAATATTTATTATTCATTCAAAATATTTCCCCGAATCTGATTGGCTAAAAACACACGCATAATTCACCTTAATCAGTTACTGATGACCAAATTTGGAAGAATTTTGTGTTTAACGAGGAAATGACGTCAAAAAGCAGCGTTCTTGCAGGTTAATGCACCGTTAACCGAGAAGACCTGGGGACAAGGTTGACTTGTTTTGGTTGTGAAAACAAAAAATGGCGGACATTTTACTCGTTTCAAGAGTAATAACTAGGCGAAATTATTGCTAAAAACATGGCAAGAACAGCAAAAACATAACTCGAAGGGCGACATCTACTATTTGGAGAATATTTGCGGAGCTGCACAACCCTAAACGTACACTATCCAAGGTGAACTTAAAATCGATGGAGGTAAGGATGTTTTACATGTAGCTTTGTTTTTAAACTAGGAATTATTTTGAATGAATGATGAAACAATTATTGAATTCGGCTTTCGTATCATATGTAGAATTATGGAGATCTCGAAGGGTGTTATCCGCCGTACCCTCCTCGATTTCCATAATTCTTCATATGATACTCAGCCTCATTGATTAATTGTTAAATATTTTAACATAAAAAAAGTAAAGCGCAATCATCATCTACCATTTGCCCAATGTCGCAAAAAAACCGATAGGCTAGCGCGGAAAAATTGAGGCCAATTGAGCAAATTTTCTCTCTTGTGAGGTAAAAATGTATCGATGAAATACAAATGATAAGTAGAAAATATTCAGTTGTCGTTTTGAAGCAAAGTAAAAAAGGTATGTAAAGGGAATGCAGAAAACATACGGCGCTAGGATGATCCGCCTGCTAGTATCTTCCTAGTGCTAGAGGATCTTCCTCCCTCTATGTGAACAGCTCCTTAATTTTCACTATCATATACTATCCCTGGTACGGGACCCTCGAAATCAAAACCGAGTGAAAAAAGATTCTGTCAATCAAAGAACACAATTTGTGCTGTTGCCTTTTATGAAACCTCAGCCTTCAAAGCAAGGCTTCACATTCCTGACGAACATGGCGTATGTTTATTTATGAACACCAATCATCGCATGTAGCTATTTAGATGTTAATTTAACTACCGTAACTGGAAGTAACACAAACACGGGATTGTCCCAAAGAAACTGGGGGCACCAGTACCGTTTCCGAATACTGGAAGTATTATTTTTTTTTTTTATTTATTTATTTTACTCTTATTGATAGCGGCCACTATCTTGAAAGCAATTGAAAAACTACATCACTGGCAGTTTCAACGTCCAAGATGGCAGGAGAACATTAGTGTCATAGTTCGCACTACAAAATACGCCTGCTACATGTACTGGGTCATACTGAGTGTGTTCATTAGTCAGTGCCCAGCACAATACCGGGCTCCAAGTAAAAATTGCTTAAGCGTTTTCACAGCACTGCCAATAGGAAGAATGCCATTTTAAGAGCAGAGGCATTAATTACCCAAGCCTAACTCTCCACTTCTATTATTGTCCTTGCAAAATTTAAGATGTTCAGAATGCTTGGGAAATACGCCTTCACTAGCGTCGAAAGTGACGGAAGAGAGATGGGAAAAGTTGGGATTCTTATGTGTCTGGTTCTATCGAATTTATGACTTCGCTGCAACAGATTTTTGATTTTCACTAGATCAAATATAACCTTCTTTACTATGGCTGATAACGCTTAATTGAGCTTCTGGGTTGTAACCGTCTAGAACTCCAATTTTCACGTCAGAGTTTATTCCGTTCCACCATTTGTGCCAGAGTTGTACGCGGCAAAACGTCTGCATTATCATAAACGCTGGCGAGGTAAGTCTTTGAAAATCGCCATTTTGTAACCTCTTTTTTCAGCTGCATAGGAGGCTAGACTTTACACGTCTTTACACTTTCCACAGCATTGTAAAGCATAAGTGAGTTGTCTCGCTAAGCTCCGCCAGCAAAAAGATCTGGAAAGATCCTAGCAATTCTTACACTTTTCATCACGGCTTTCTAAGAAATGTCATGACTTAGCTTATTCTCCTGTTGGTTGTTGGTATGAAATCTAAAAATCTTAATTTTACTGTAACTTGTTAAACGAGATCAAAGCAATAAAACGAAGAAGCTAGAGGTTTCGTGATAAAGATAAGAGTGGCGCGTCCTCATAATACAGCACTGAATTAACAAGTAGGTGCCCTTTGATAATGGCATTGAACAGTCAATTAAACAGCTACAGTTGAACGACTAGAGCAAAATGTAGTAAGTTTCATAATTAAAGACGTTTTGGCCTGCAACCTAGTATCCTGTTTTAGTGTCCGGCTTTTAGATATGGAAGACCAAAAACACCTGAAGTCGACTCTTTCAGAGTTTTAATAGATTTGTCTGAGCAGTTTAAGCTTCTGTTAGCTTGATGCTTCACTGATCATACCTCCAAGACCGTACGCCCACCGCCCACTTTCTGCTCTGTTGACTGATAATAAGAGACCATATTGTGATCGAAATTATTTTTCAAAATGCAAAAGTGAGGAATGCCATTAAAGATCGAACCGTCTTTCTAGTTTAGACCTCTTTTTCGTTTCACTGAGGTAAAATTTAACAAAAGAACAAGATTGGTGTACCCGGCTTTTTGGCATTCAAGTTTGAAATCTGCAAAACCAAACAAGAAAGATACGTTTTAATAAGTAGTGTTCACTGGATTTGCTGGATCGGTAAGTTCTTTATCTGTAACTACAATATGTTTACTAATCATTCACGCACTCTAGAACGATTAAAGCCATTTAACCTTAGTGCATCCAAAATCTTGCAATTGAACCTTCCACGGCGGTTTTTTTTATTTTTTGACTAGAACCAGTTAGCAAAAATCTGTCAATCTGGAATTAAGAACGCCTTATAATCAGTAGGGATACTAGGTTTTTGGTAATTCATTTGTTGAAGACTAAGTAAAGCGAAGATTATAGCTCCGGAAAGTCGCGAAAATATACAGATGTTTATATGATGGGGGACAAATTCATGTCCCCCCAAATATACAAAGGTCTGCAACATTTCGCGACTTCATGGACCTATATCTTCGCTTCCTTTAGACTTATCCCCTTAAAACTTAGCAAGTTTAAAGAGTGCCTTAAGGGAGTATTTCTAGCGGTGTCGTTGGACATTCACTTACTGATAATAATAATAATAATAGTAATGATAAGTCTATAAACTAAAAAAAAAAGAAAATTTCTATGTTCATCCCAATAATAAATATAATAATTATTAAATTTTACTATTTACAGATTCAAGAATATGAAATATTAAAATATATACCCTATGTACATTCTTCTTGTGTACGAAAGAAAATTGTCGTAAAATGACTATCTAAAGACTACTAATAACAATTATAAAAAGCATCAAAAAGTTAATAAAAAAAATAATAATAATAATAACAATAATAATAATAAACTTTATTCAAGTGTCAGATTCTTTAGCTATCTGAGCTAAATGGGGACACTATGAAATAAAAAGAAATATGTACAACCATAAACTAAAA